CATGTGAGGATGACTGCATGCTTTTGCCCTGGCTAATTATTGCATCTTCTTGCTTGGGACTCAAGCACCTTCCTAGCCTTCATTTAACCACATGGGCTTGAAGCAGGGAAAGACAATGAGAGAAGGAAACAGGCAGCTCAGTGAGATGGAATGCAGGCCCTTTGTACAGGGATGCTGGATGCACTGGTTAATTTCTTAATTCTCATCACAATTCGGTTCACGGGAGACTCCTGGAATGTCTTTATCCATCACAGATGGTTTGGGAAAATGATAAATTAATATTGTTATCAATGGGGGCAGGGCTGAAATGGTTAAATAGTAACGTCGTCTTCGGTCATCTTTGCCTGCTCAAAAGAGAAAGCGCCCCAAAGTCCATAAAGAAGATAAATGGTAAACAAAACCTCCTGTCTTTTGACAGATTCCAAGATGAGTATCATTCACAGACAATCCAGCGGAGAAAAGGGAGAAATTTATCTCATCTGACTTTATATAGGACAACAGCTCGCACCATAACGAGGCTGTCCCAGTGCTGTGAAATCGCACTGAATAGCTGGAGAGTGCAGCCGCCTGTTCCCTGGGTACGTTTATTACAGTCCTTTGTACGCGCCAACCCTGCCAGCTCTGGTTTGCTTCTAAACCAGGGGAGGCGAGAAATAACCCAACAAATTTGTTGCTACGAAACCACCCAAATGGGGCAACTACATAGTAACGTTTGGAATCTGATGCCCTTACTCCAGGCTGTTCTTGTCTGGGTCCAACCCTGCTCTACACTGGACAACGTCCCCTAGTCAGCCAGTCACCAGCAGAATATGGGTGGCCTCGGCTCCCTGCCCAGGCTCTGAGAAGTCAGGGGTAAAGAGGCCCCAGAGGCCATTCCCAAGCCAATTTGGGAGTCAAGAACCCCTGCCCTTTGCCCCTGTTCCCCTGTGAAATTCATCTGAAACAAAACAAAGAAGTGCAGCTCTCACCTGAAGGCCTAAGGTGGGGCTCTGGGAAGTCAATCTCAAAAGCTGGGGCCTAACCGGCCAGACACGGTGGCTCATGCCTGTAATCCCAGCACTTTGGGAGGCCAAGGAGGACAGATCACCTGAAATCAGGAGTTCAAGACCAGCCTGGCCAACATGGTGAAATTCCGTATCTACTAAAAACACAAAAATTAGCTGGTTGTGGTGGCACGCACCTGTAATCCCAGCTACTCGGGAGGCTGAGGCAGGAGAATCGCTTGAACCCGGGAGGCGGAGGTTGCAGTGAGCCAAGATTGCGCCACTGCACTCCAGCCTGGATGACACAGCGAGACTCCATCTCAAAACAAACAAACAAACAAACAAAAAAATGGAGCCTGGAGGCAGCACCATACCTACAAAATTTCAGAAGCCTCTGAGAGAAAACGGTCAAAGATCAAATACTGGGGAAAAAGTGCTTCCACCCAAGGAACCATTTCCTTGAACCATCTGGCCCTGGGAACGCAAGGCAGGAGGCGCTCGTGGTGGTGGTGATGGAAGGGGGTTGACCAGGAGACCCCTGTGTGAAGATCTCAAGGGTACACATCCCTCCCGCATCTGAACTTCTCCTAAAGATGGTTCCCACCAAGATCTCAGGCTCTCTTTTTGGTGGGAACTGTCCCACCTCCCGTAAGAGCTTGACACCAGGAAAGGAAAGAGCTGAGGGGAAAGATCCGGACTTTCCAGAGACGTCTATCCTCACCAATCAGATGACTGGACCTCCTGAGTCAAATTTTTTCCTCACTAATCAGAGAGCAGATATTTTCTCGCCAATCACGAAGCAGAGACCTCCAGGCAATGCTTTTTCTCACCAATCAGAAAGCAGAAACCTCAAAGTGCTGTCTTTCTCACCAATCAGGTGGCAAGTTTTTTAAAGTGTAGTCTCCTATCACCAATCAGGTGACAAGTTCCTTGAAGCACTGTCTTTCTTCACCAATCAGATGGCAGTTTCCTTGAAACACTGTCATTCCTCCCCCGTCAAGAGGCACTAAGAGTACCAGCCTTTCCTGCCACATTTCCTCAGTAGAATTTGCCTGTGTCTTTCTGAGCAGAATCCATCTGTAGATTTTCCCGTCCTGTGATTTATTCTCCCAGGGTTCCCACCAAGGCCAACGCAGCTGATGTACAGGGCTGGGAAGGAAAACACAGCCACCTAGGCTGGCCACAGTGTTGGAAATCATAAAACAAGAACGCATCCTCATCTATTTGCATCTGACCCTCCTAGAAACCAGTAAAGGAAGGTGGGCAATAACATGCCATTCAGCCAGAGTGGCAGAGCCCCAGAGAATGGCCTGCGGGTTCCCAGGACCCTGTGGCTTCCTGCCATCTCTCAGTCTGAGTGGTGAGAGGCTGCAAACAGCTCTTGTCCCTACCCACAGCAACAAGGGGTAGGTGGAGGTGACCAGGGCCCTGCCCCTTTTTACCTCTCCGGGAAACATACATTTCTAATCGGGCAGCAGAAACTGGCATGACAGGAAGTGACCAGTGCCCTTTCTCACCCAGACCTTCTCCCTCTCAGGCACAGGACTGCCCACCTGAGTGGCTGCTGTTGGTATAGTTTCTTGGCTGAACTCCCAAGAAATCTATGTGCAAGACAGCTGTTTACAAGACCCCTGGCCTCAATTTCTTCTGTAAAAGAGAGACAACAAACACTCTGGGCACAGGCAAAGGAGCTGGATACCTTCCAACTATGTTCTCTGAAAGGCCAGAGCCATCTCTCCCGGGGCTTGTCCTGGTCACACCTTTCTGCCATTGCAGATGTTTCTCGGGCCCCTTTGCCTGGGCCACCTTCCCATTCATTCTCCGCTCAGTCTTCTGGGGAATTCTCACCTAAAACCGTGATTTTTTTAAAAACATGGAAGCAGCCCAGCTACCTTTCTGCTCATGTTTCTCTTGGCAACCACCAGAGGCAGCCGTAAGTCCACAGACACAGAAGGACACCTTGCTTGAACTAGGGCTCATGCCTGTGCATTTGCAATCAAAGGGATTTCTCCTGGAGGAGACAGACTGGGAACCTGTTTATTTTATTTTGAGAAAAGTGTTCCACATAAGCAGGGCTGGGTTGGATTCACGAGCCCTGGGCTCAGAAGGGCACCAGCTTGGTGGAAACTCTGCTGTCCTTGTTTCAAAATTCTTAATAGCTTTGGAATAAGAAGCCCCCTACTTTGTTACTTTCTTTTTTTTTTTTTTCCAAGACGTTCTCTCCTTCTCCTCCTTCTCCTCCTCCCCTTCCTCCTCTTCCTCCTCTTCTTCCTCCTCTTCTTCCTCTTCCTCCTCTCCTCCTCTCCCTCTTCTCCTCTTCTCCTTTCTCTTCCTCCTCTCCTCCTCTCCCCCCTCCCCCTCCCCCTCCTCCTCCCCCCTCCCCCTCCTCCTCCCCCTCCTCCTCCCCCTCCCCCTCCTCCTCCCCCTCCTCTCCCTCCTCCTCCCCCTCCTCCCCTTCCTCCTCCTCTTCTTCCCCTTCCTCTTCTTCCTCTTCCTCTTCTTCTTCTCCTCCTCTTCCTCTTCCTCCTCCTCTTCTTCCTCCTCCTCTTCCTCCTCCTCCTCTTCTTCTTCTTCCTCTTCCTCTTCCTCTTCTTTTTTCGAGACTCTCACTCTGTCACCCAGGCTAGAGTGCAGTGGTGTGATCTTGGCTCACTGCAACCTCCGCCTCCTGGGCTCAAGCTATTCTCCTGCCTCAGCCTCCCAAGTAGCTGGGATTACAGGCGCGCACCACCCGGTTAATTTTTGTATTTTTAGTGAGGACGGGGTTTCACCATGTTGGGCAGGCTGGTCTCGAAGTCCTGACCTAGGGTGATCTGCCCATCTCGGCCTCCCAAAGTGCTGGAAGCCCCTGTTTTCATTTTGCACTGGGCCCTGCAAATTATGTAGTCGGTCCTGCACACAAGTGCCCAACATCTGGTGGACTTCCTGTTAAGAAGATGATACTTTTGCTTCATCCACACGCTAAGCAGTGGCCACAGAAGGGTTTCTCTCCTGCAGCGCACCACCTGGGCCTGTCTGCCATGGCTTGGGACCCTGCCGTGTCAGAGTCTACACAAGTCCAGGTCAGGACCCCACCCATGCTGAGGTGTTGCCCACGAGCCCTCAGAGGTAAATATCTTCTGGGAAGCCGTGTTCATGGCAGGCCCTGGCCCTAGGCCATAAGTTTTGGAGCAGGAAAGCCTTGGTTCCTGGAATTACCAAAAGCTTTTGTGGGGTGGGGGGCCCCACTTCTCACCCTCCAGCATCACTGAATTCCCTGGCATTTCATCAGCTTCTCTGAATCATCTGACCATTGCTTCATTTTTGTTGGTAGGAGAAAAACAAACAGCAGAAAGTTAAAACATTAGTGCTTGCTTCAGTGGACAAAAATAGAGTCTCCCGTCTCCTTTTAATTTTTTTTTTTTTGTCCTAAGAAGTAAAGCTATTTGCAGATGGATTAAATGTTCCTTCTGAGACCCTGCCCCTGAAACTGCCGACCTCGCTGGGACTGTACGTGTGTGTGTGCGTGTGTGTGTGTGTGTGTGTTTCGGGGGTGGGTGAGCGAGGGGCGGTGTGCGCACATCCAAAGAAGTGCGTCTGCGTGCATTTGGTAAAAGAGAGTCCTTTGTCCCAACGGTAAGCCTGGCGAACATGACTCGCGGTCCTCTGGTATGCAGCACACCTGTGCAGAGCAGAACCCCAGGAGGGGGAGGGAAGGGAGAGGTGTTGGCGGCTGCAGCCCTGCACCCTTGTAGGGGATCACACCTTCTCCTTTCTTCTCCTTTGAGCCATGTCTCCATCGCCCCTTTGTTTCGGCTTACACCTCCAAATACCAGGGAGGCCTTTGTGTGCGTGTGTGTGTGTGTGTGTGTGTGTGTGTGTGTGTGTGTGTGAGAGACAGAGAGAGAGATGACCTCAGTCAACGCCAATTTGTACACAGACTGCAAGAAAATAGAAAAGGAAGCGAGGAAGGAACGGGAGGACTGATATTCCCAGGGTCTCCCGAGCTCCCCCCGCACCCCGCCACACGTCGCCCACCTTTGCAGGCCTTCCGGTGGCTGATGGGCTTGCCCATGTCGCGGTAGTAGCCCTCCTTGCAGTAGTGGCAGTGGCGGCCGGCGGTGTTGTGGCGACAGTTGAGGCAGACACCTCCGCTCTTGCGCCCCGAAAGCTTGTAGAGCTCCATGTTGAAGCGGCAGCGCCGGGCATGCAGGTTGCAGTTGCAGGCTGCAGGGGAAGACCGAGAGAGGTGTCAGCTGCAGGGGCGCGGGGAGGACAGGCACCCATGGGCGCCGAAGGAAACCCCACCCCCCCCCACTGCTCCCTTCTCCACTAGCAGAGCCAGGCAGGCAGACGTGGGCTCCAGGAGCTCCTCCTCGGCTCCTCCTGTTTATACCCATAAGCATGTATTGGGCACGTAACAGTACCACGGCTGAGGTTCTCCCAAAATTCCTATGTTGAAGCCGTGACCCCCAGTACCTCAGAATGGGACTGTATTTAGAGATAGAGTCTTAAAACAGGGCCCTCAGAGTGGGCGCTACGCCAGTATGACTGTGTCTTTGTAAGAAGAGGAGACGAGGACACAGAGGGACGCGGGGAAGCATGTGCACGGAGGAGAAATCCCATGAGGACATTGCCAGAGGGCAGCCATCTGCAAGCCGTGCAGAAAGGCCTCCAGAGCAACCAACTCTGCCAACACCTTGATCTTGGACTTCCAGGCTCCAGAACTAGGAGAAGTAAACATCTAGCGTTTCAGCCCCCAGCCCGTGGCACTTTGTTGTAGCAGCTGAGCAAACTACTGAGGCTCCTGCCACCAGCCTGGCCTCCCCTTCTCCCCCTCCTCCTCGTCCACTGAGGACTCTAGGGCCTGCACACCATCGTTCTTCCCACCTCAACCTGGCCGGCTTCCGGAGGCTGCCCAGCCCTGCTCTGGGGAGAGGACCCCCACATCGTCCACGATCGCTCTGCTCCACCTGTTCCCTCCCCATGAGCATTGCTCAGGACTCAGCTCCCTTTCCCCGCCCACCCCGTGCCCTCCTGGTCTGTCTCCTTCACCACTCATCATCTCTGCGCTCCCAACTCCCAAATCAGTATTTCCAGTTTCAGGTCTGGGGTCTCCACTTGAACCCAGAGTCACCTCCTCTACATCATTGACTCCTTACCATCCTGCCCTCAGGTTCCCTGTGGCTTGAGCTGAACCTCGCAGGCTCCCCTCTGCATAATCAGCAGAAGCAGGATTTATTTTTGTTTGTTTGTTGTTATTTTTGAGATGGGAGTCTTTCTCTGTCACCCAGGCTGGAGTGCAGTGGCCCGATCTCAGCTCACTGCAACCTCTGCCTCCCGGGTTCAAGCGATTCTCCTGCCTCAGCCTCCTCAGTAGCTGGGATTACGGGTGCGCACCACCACGCCTGACTAATTTTTGTATTTTTAGTAGAGACGGGGTTTCACCATGTTGGTCAGACTGGTCTTGAACTCCTGATCTTGTGATCCTCCCACCTCAGCCTCCCAAAGTGCTGGGCTGACAGCCGTGAGCCACCACACTCAGCCCAGAGCAGGATTTCTAAGCACCAAAATGAGGGCGTCCATTGGGATCAAGTTGAAAGCACTCAGCATGGCCTTCAGGGCTCCAAATAAGTTGGTCCTGCCTCGCCGTCCAGCCCCTCACTCTTTATGCTCCAGTGATTCCAAACTTTGGTCTGTTTCTAGAGCCATGTGCGAGGACCCCTCGCCTGCCTCTCTGGGGCTTTGGACATGCTGTTCCCTTTCTCCCAGGACACCCCTGTTTTATCTGGCTGCCTCCTTCTCATCCCCCAGGTCTTGGTTCCAATGTTACTTCCCAGTCCCGCTCCACCCCACAAGCCTGGCATAGGCACCCAGCATGGCCTCACATAGCTTTCCTTGCGCCACATCAGGATTGCCTGTCACCTGCCTTCTTCTTTAGGCTTCCAACCCCAGGGTACTCCAGCACAGGTCTGGCCTCTTCTTGTTCACTCTACAACATGGTTTCATGCTCAGTGTGTTCTAAATCACATTTGATGGAATTTCTAAAGAAATACATGTTGGGATTTTTGTTTTGTTTTTTGTTTGAGGCAGGGTCTCACTCTGTTGCCCAGGCTGGAGTGCAATGGCACGGATCTTGGCTCACTGAGACCTCTGTCTCCCAGGCTCATGAGATCCTCCCACCTCAGCCTCCCGAGTAGCTGGGACCACAGGCATGTGCCACCATGCCCAGCTAATTTTTTTTGTATTTTTTGTAGAACCAGGGTTTCACCATGTTGCCTGGGCTGGTCTTGAACTCTTGGGCTCAAGAGATCTGCCTGTTTCCGTCTCCCAAAGTGCTGGGATTACAGGCCTGAGCCACCGCACCCAACCTAAGAAATATATATTTAATTCATGCACTCGATAAACAAAAGCAGGAAGAGAAAGGAATACACTCCTATTTCCACCAACCACAGTTGCTGCAGAGATCTTTCCTTTTAGGCTTAATTAACATTTGTTCAGTTGTGGAGCTATTTAATTCTTTCCTACAGACATAGAAAACGTAGATCATACTTTTACACATCTAGTTTTATAGGTCTTTTTTTTTTTCATAATAATGAACATTTTCTCGTGTCAAATACTGTTCTTCATGATGTTTAAAAGTCGTCTGGGCTGGGCATGGTGGCTCACACCTGTAATCCCAGCACTTTGGGAGGCTGAGGTGGGCAGATCTCTTGGAGTCAGGAGTTTGAGACCAGCCTGGCCAATATGGTGAAACCTCATCTCCACTAAAAAATACAAAAATTAGCCAGGCATGGTGGTTTGTGCCTGTAATCCCAGCTACTTGGGAGGCTGAGGCAGGAGAATCTCTTGATTCTGGGAGGTGGAGGTTGCCATGAGCCACCATTGTACCCCAGCCTGAGCCACTGAGCGAGACCCTATCTCACAAAAATTAAAAACTAAAAAATAAAAGTCGTCTGGCACTTTTAAATGCCTTGGAGTCGAAGTGGAGGCATTTAAAAGAAGGACCTCCCAGGGTTGGACAGCTATAGGCCATTTCCCATTTTTCACTATTATAAATGTTAACTACCTTTGAACGTAAAGGTAACCACCTTGAACCACCTTTGAACATACATATTTGTGCTCTGCTCTGATGAGTGTTGTAGCGCAAATTTCTCTAGATGGAATTACTGGGTTGAATTTTGAATCTACATGTTTTTATATTTTTATTATTTATTTATTTATGTATTTATTTTTTTGAGATGGAGTCTCGTTCTGTAGCCCAGGCTGGAGTGCAGTGGCATGATCTCGGCTCACTGCAACCTCCGCCTCCTGGGTTCACGCCATTCTCCTGCCTCAGCCTCCCGAATAGCTGGGATTACAGGCACCTGCCACCACACCGGACTAATTTTTTGTATTTTTAGTAGAGACGGGGTTTCACTATGCTGGCCAGACTGGTCTTGAACTCCTGACCTTGTGATCTGCCCGCCTCGGCCTCTCAAAGTGCTGGGATTACAGGCATGAGCCACCGTGCCCAGCCCTTCTCCATGTTTCTAACATTGGCTCCAAACTGCCACACTGCCCTCAAGAGAGGCTGTATGGCTTATACTCCCACCAGCAGGATATGAGAGCTCCTATTTTACCACGTGCTTGAAAAGAATAATATGCATTTGGTATCAGCATTCTTTTTAAAAAATCTTGGCCAATCGGTCTGAGAAAACACATACACATACACACATGATTTTAATTTGCGTGTCTTTGATTACTAGGAAGGTTGGACATTTCCCCATGTATTGTTTTTCTATTTATATTTCTTTTTTGTGCATTGCCTGTTCATGCCATTTGCCCAGTTTTCAAATAAGGTGGGCTTTTTTTCATGCTGTCTAGTGATCTTATATGGGAGGATTAAACATCATTTGTCTTTTCTGCCATATAAGCTGTAAATATTTTTAACAGTTTCTCATTCACATGTTACTTTAATTTGTGATCTTTAGAAAAACATGTGCCTCTTTAATTTTTCTCTCTGATGTTAGGACAAGCTTCTTTAAGTGCTCTTCCTAGAGTCACTGCCAAGTCACTCACCCATTAGTCATTCCATTTACAAATAGAGGTGGACAGGGCTCTAGAGAAAGCAGTGGGGGATGCAGGAGAAACGACAGCTCCTACCCTGAAATCTGAAAGCAGCCAGAAGCCAAATTAAACCAGGGGATGAGTCCCAGAGCCTTGCTAAGTGTCCTCCAGCAAGTGTCCCCAGGGCTGAGTTCAACCAGGTGCAAAGTAAGAGGCTGCAGCTGCACCTTGCCCTCCCACAGACAACTGTCACGCCTGTGCACACTCACTCTCTTTGGACTCACCCTGCCAGACAAGGGTGACAGGGGCCTGCTCAGAGAGTGAAATGACCAATCAGCCCAGGACCACGGAGCCAGTAAATTCGGGGTACAAGATGGGAACCCAGGCCTTCTGGCTCCTGGTTCACTGGCTCAGAGGAAAGGACCCTTATCACTGGAAGTAACAGCTGGCCTAGACTACAGTCAGAATCTAGATCTTCCCTACAAGCACAGAAATCACAGGACCTGGAACACCTGCCTGGGGACAGGGATCTGGAAGGATCACCCAGGCCTCACTTCCTCAGGCCTCCCTTGTACCAGGAAAGGCCTGGTAACAGCATCATCCCGTCCTTCTTGGAGGCAAACGTCCTCCTCCTGCATTTCCCAGCGGGGACTGCCCTAACCTTTGAGCCCCGTCTGGGAGCTCAGCCTCCACTTTCCCCACCCCAAGAGGAAGCTGGGGGCTGGTAGCTCTCTTCCATATGCACCTTATGCCAACAAAAGGTTTTTCCTAAACAACTGGTCACACAAAAGAAAACTCTGAGGCGAACATCAAAAGGCAGGGGTCCCTTCCCTCCCCTTCTTCTTGGAGCTGTCAAGAGACATCAAGTGGCAAATGCCCATGCTCAGACTTCTGCAAAGTATTTTACAGCTTGTTTTCTTTTCTCTTTGTTTTATTTTCTCTGCACAGATGGAAAAAATGCATTGGGCGAAGCAGCTCACATCTGGATCCCTCAGCTCCACAGAGAGGCGTCACCCAACTCCCGGCCTGTCCCCAGCCCCTTCCTCAGAGAGACACCTTAATCCTTCGTGCCTTCCTGTTTATCTCCTGCATCTCTTGGAGGCAAAAATATTGGGTATTAGTTTCATTATCAGATTTCAAGGCAGGGAGGAAAGGGCAGCTTTGTGAGAACAGAGAGG